ACTCACATCCTTAAAAGGAATGTCATAACCAAATCATGCGGCGACCGAGGGCTATCCTAGGGCCTGTCCAAGGGCTCATGTGATAGGATGAAAAATGGGAAAGAAAGAAGAATGAAGGTGTCCCATCAGGATACCTCAGTAGAGTATCATCCTACCCCCTTTCGGAGGAGTAGGAAGGAGAGGCTGATTTTGTGAGTAAGGAAGAGCTCATCACAGGCCATGCTGGGCCTACAAGATTTGAGCAAACAGAGGGCACAACCAAGATCCTGAAGAGAAATTTCGTAATGGCCAGTGCTGACAAAAGTTTGAGGAATTCACCGGGAACTGCTGTGAGGCAAATATTTCCCTGGGCATTAGGCTCAGAGTCCTACAAGAAGAGTGTCACCCTACAAGAGAAGGGCTGTGACAGCTCTACTCAGATGTCATCATTTGTGCCAGCAGAGCCCCACCATTACTGGAACGCCAGAGAGAACTCCCCGAGTGCTCAGAGACCTTATTTGGAAACTGAAGTGAGTAGGGAAAGAATTAGATCAATTTGTGTTTCTAGTAAATTACCCTTTTAGTAGAGGAAAAAATTCACAAGTATTAAGTGCCAGAAATGCAAAATATATCAATATTTCCTCTAAATGTTTCCTATGGGTGATGACTGTTGTTGTCACCGCCACCACCGACATCATTACTTTTGCTGTTAAACTCTAAGTCAGATTCACCCCTACGAAGAACTTCCAGGCCTGGCAGAACTCCTGTTACCTCAATCCTTGTCTTACCAACGGGGCAATAAGTGAGTCGTTAGAAAAACCCTAGCCTAAGAGGACGTGTTTCTTTGCTATACAGATAACATGCATGCTAAGATGGGTTATACCCTTAGCGTAACACGTGTGCTAAGATAGTATTACCTTCCAGAAGTCTGAAACCCTAAACCTGTGTATCGTAAAATATGCCAAGTGATTGACCCATGATTTACTACAACAAATAACTCAATAGGTAACTGTTGAGTAAGAGCCCATTGTGTCCAGAGCCCCATGGCAACTCTGGCCGGGAATGCACGATATGCGCTGGGTACCCAGGATCATCATATCCACGTGAACAGTGCGAGCTGGCAAAAATGATCCTGAGTGGAAGAGGAGGACACTCATTTCAGACCCTCGGATCTCTCTGTGCTCATCACGCTGGCCTTTTGTTGTTGTTGTTGTTGTGTTGTTGCATTTTATGGCACCTGCTTCTTTTCTTTCCTGTCTCCTCCAGCACATTGCTCCTTGAGGGCAGGGATCAGGTCGGATCCATATCAAAGTCAACCTTATTATTTCTAAGCAGGGGAGCTAAAACACAGAACTGCTCCAACCTGAATGTGCTTTAGAATCCTGAGATGATTCCAACTCTACCCCTAGCCTTCTGCACCAAACCATATAGGATGGGGCCCTGTATGCATTTTAACAAGCTACGTCCCCCGCCACCCCCCTCAGATGATTCTGATGCAATTGGTCAGGAAACCCACTCAGAAAACAGTTTTCAATCTAGGGGTGCCTGGGTGGCTCAGTTGGTTAAGCGTCTGCCTTCGGCTCAGGTCATGATCCCAGGGTCCTGGGATGGAGCCCTGCATCAGCCTCTGTGCCCAGCGGGGAATGGGCTTCTCCTCTTCCTTGGCCTCTCCCCCTGCTCCTGCTGTGTGTGTGTGTGTCAAATAAATAAAATCTTTAAAAAAGCAAAACAAAATACACTTTTCAATCTATAAGCCTAGAGTATAAGCCTGGAGCACACCCTTTGGATCAGCTAGAGCTAGCTTTTATCCCAGTTCTATACTCAGTAGCTACAGGGCAGGCATGTGTAAGTTTCTTAAGTTCTTTGTGCCCCAGTTCCCTCAGTTATAAGATGGGGATAGATACATAACTTAACAGAAAGAAAATAGAATGGTGGGTGCCAGGGGCTTCCAGAGAGGGGGTTAGGACTAAGTTGTTTAATGGGTACAGAGTTTCAGTTCTGCAGAGTGAAAAATTTCTGGAGATCTGTTGCACAACAATGCAAATATAGTAACATTACTAAAGTGTACATTTCAAAGTGGTTGATAAGGTGATAAATTTTATGTGTTTTTGCCACAACTAAAAAGAATTTCTTTTTTTTTTTTTTAAGATTTTATTTATTTACTTGAGAGGGAGTGAGAGAGCATGAGTGGGGAGAGGATCAGAGGGAGAAGCAGACTCCCCACCGAGCAGGGAGCCCGATGTGGGACCCGATCCTGGCACTCCAGGATCACAACCTGAGCTGAAGGCAGTCGCTTAACCAACTGAGCCACCCAGGCGTCCTAAAAAGAATTTCTTTAAAGAAATTTTTAATAGGGTTGCATAATAGTATCTACTTCACAGTGTTGTTATGAGCATTACACGAAATAAAGCGTGTCAAGTCTCTGGCTCAGTCCCTGATCTAGCAACTGCTCAAAAAATTATAGCTATTATTATTGTTGTAGTCCTGGTTGTTAAGGTAGTTAACTATGAATAAGTTACTATTTAAAGGCATTTTAAACCAAATTATAGTCTGAATCTTCAAGCTGATGAAGGTTCTCTATACTTTTTGAAATGGTGTGCCAATTTCTCAGGAAAGCACTGGGCTGTAAAATGGAAACCTATCTCTAGTCATTCATTAAGGACTGTTTGAAACCCTCCCCGCAAATCCAAGTAACATCTGACAGACTGCATTTTTCCAGATCCTGACCAACAGACCCCATTCACATTTCACATGTAGATCTTTACGTTCAAAACCCCAACCATATTACAGGTCAATATGTGAAAGCAGGAGGACTATTCCTCTTAGGCGGTCTAATTCATAACACTAAGATCCTCAATCTGCAGAGATGAAGGAGACAAACAAAATGCTGAACTTTGTTTCTCAGCTTAGGCTTAATGAAGGAAGTGAAGCAAAATCTGCTGCGGTAAAAGAAAAAGTGATCTCCATGAAATATTTTGCATCTTTGATGCGCACATGGAACCCAAAGCAGATTTGGGAAACGTGGCATAAACCCAAGGCCGTCATTTTGATTCTCTCTGCATCGTTTTGATTTCATGTGCATCTATTCTAATTTCATCTCTCCAGCCTATTATTTAAACCTTAGCAGGACAGATGTGCTGTTTTACAGGGCCATAATCCACTTGGTGGGCGGATAACCAGGAGGCCTTTGGTCTTCATCATTTACTCCAATAAGAAACTAGACTATTGCCTTATAAAACAGCGTGAATCCCCCACCCTGATTTCACATGTTATGCTAACCCACAGAACATCCTTGGAACTTCTAACAGAATTCATAAAATTCATCATGGTCACAGAGATGCCCAAAATTCACTCTGGGCTGAATGAAATTAGGCAAAAGTCAGTCTAGAACTATAAATAGTAAAAATGAGAGTGTTGGAAAATGACTTCAGGTACAGGATTTTAGGCCGGCACAAGTACTCATGTGAACCAGATTTATCGTTCTAAGGCCAAGAAGGTTAGGTACCCACTGGTGAAAACTCTAATCCCAATGGCTTTTAAATCTCTCTTGATTGAAAAATAAATTCCGAAGTCATTGCTAAGGATTCCCTGCCACCTTTTTAAAATCTCCATCTGGTGTGTAACTCTTGTAATTGTGGGAGACAAGGGTTTTCAGAGAGATCAGGAGACCCATCCCAGAACTTTTGAGTAATGACAACATTGTCTGTTGAGAGGTGGTACTTGTGAAATCAGAAATGAGCGGCAGTATGTGCAGATGGACCATCAGCAAGGATTATGAGTGCCCCCATGCACCAGCATCCTTGCCAACAGGTGGAAGGAAGGAGAAGCAAGAAGAGCTATGATTGTAAACAGCAAAAAGAAGTGATTAAAAGAATGTAAATAACCAGACATTAACTAAAGATTCTGGGCATACTGCCTTCTGTCCAGTTAATTTTTCTTTCTCTGATGCAGTAAAGATACTACCTTGTAGGGGCGCCTGGGTGGCTCAGTAGGTTAAGGCCTCTGCCTTCGGCTCAGGTCATGATCCTGGGGTCCTGGGATCGAGCCCCGCATCGGGCTCTCTACTCAGCAGGGAGCCTTCTTCTACCTTTCTCTGCCTGCCTCTCCCTACTTGTGATCTCTGTCTGTCAAATAAATAAGTAAAAATCTTAAAAAAAAAAAAAAAAAGATACTATCTTGTTACCTTAACATGGGGATTTCCGATCGATAAAGGGTTGAGGTTCCGATATCCAAGTATTAATTCCAGCTCTAACGTCTCAAGTCACATGACCTTGGAAAATCACTTAACTACTCTGGGCCTCAGTTTCCTCATCTAGAACAGGACCCGGGTCACATACATGTTCAGTAAGTATTTGCAGAAGCTTAAAAGAAAATGTATCTGTAAAATGGGGATAAACTAGGAGATCTCAGAAATTCTTCCCAGATTCGCCATTCAACAGACCTGTGACTTCTTTGTCACAGGCTCTTGTCCCTTGTCATTCTAGTCCTCTTCTGCACATCTATACCAACAGAGAAATCTCTTTTTATTGACCACAATCCTACCTTACATTTTCCCATCCCATGATAGTCTTACCCCTCAGTTATGTTACAAGAAGGAAGCATTTTGCCTTTAAACTGATCATACAGTTATTTTTCAAACAATTGGTTACCAGAGCATATTGCTATTTTTAAAGCTCTGTGCCATATTTTAAAAGCTATATAAGGAAATATTTGCATTTTCCTTCCGTAGTTGTTTTCTGCTTGATTTCAAGAGTTAAACAAATGGTTTCAAATACCTTCTGCGTGATGCTTTTCCCCTCCATTAAAATGCTGAAGGGTGGTTTTTTTTTTTTTTTTTCCTCTTTAGGAGGAAATAAGAAATCTTTCCCCTGTAATTTACTTTGGCTTTCTCAAAAGTTGGGTAGGAAAGTCAGTATAATTCAGGTAGAATCTAAAATGTTCTTGTTGTACAAGCGTGCACAGAAAGGAAGCCTATAATTTCTGAACATTCTTTCAGGAAGTTTGTATTCTCTGTTTTCCAGGGAGCCTTTACTTTCCAAGGGAGTATGATCGACATGCCATTACTGAAGCAAGCCCAGAACATTGTTACGCTTGCCACATCCATCAAGGAAAAATGATCTGTTAAATGAAGCTCTCATCAGGTGGGCTGAACATATACAGTGGGTTTCTAAAAGACAAACCATAATATTCAAGGCAACTTGTTAGTATGCCAGATTGGAACCTTTCTCCCATTTACAGTTCATGTTAATCACAATTTTTGTGTGTGTGTTATCTCACTGGCCAGTTATCCCTCTAAAAATGAACTTCCTCCTTTTGGATTCCAAGCTTATGACTTTATTGCTCATTAATGTGTTACAAATATGCACTTATGATTTCACAGGGAGAAAAAACAGTGGAGAGAGATGGGCTGGGGGCATGTTAGGTCTTTAATGAAACAGATCTTTCTCAAATATGTGCGCTCCTTTCACATTTCTCACATTAGATGTTTCCCACATTGTTCATTACTCAACACTGTAAATAATTTTAAGGCCAGTCTTTGAAACTAGTGGTTAAATGACGGGGTTCTGTTTATTTCAGTATAAATCTGATAAAACGAGAGATGGCATAGAAAAGTTAAGTATCAGATAGCTTCTGAAAATAAATCTTCAAAACCTATTGCTCTTAACCACCTTCCAAAATGAAACCTCCACCCATTTGAACCAGGAGGTGAGAACTATGAAAGCCCTCATCCTGGGTGAATGCTTTGGGTGAACAGTCACCAGCAATTAAAAAAAAAAAAAATGCGCAGAGACACAAGACCATCCATTCTCTCCCTTAATTTCCCCATTTAACTGTTTTGCCATTGAGGCCACTTCCCCCTGTAAATGTATGGCCGGGACAGGGCCCCCTCAGCAATAAACTTGTAGCCTCTAAGAGGACACAATGCGGCAGAGCTGGTGCATATGGTCCCCTGCGAGATTTGCATCACATTAGAGATGCTGCTGCAGGTCGTATGGGCGGTGTGGTTAACGGGCTTAGTAAAGCTGTTTTGAAGAGGTTAACCCAGCTTGTAGTAAGGGTAAATAAACATAACCACCAGCCATTCTTCCCTATTCAGCGTGTGCTCTTATACCGAAGGCTAAAGGGTATTGAAGCTGGAAAGGATCAACTTGTGTTTGCCAGAGGACGCCAATGAAATTTGAAACACCAACAATCAGAGATTTTGTTTCTGCTCCTCATTAAATCATGAGCTTTTGTGTTGAGACTCTGGACGACTGTTCTTTAAGAAATTAACAGAATGGGAAGTTTTAAACTCTACACCAACCTTTTCATGACCTACACAGCAGCAAAGCTGCTACTCTTAGACAAACACCGCGGGGAAGGCTGTTCTGTTTATTTAAATTTGTAAATAGAAAACAGTTGTTTTTTTTTATTTTAATTTTTCACCTCCTCCTACACCCTTGTTTATTTCTTCCATGGCCCCTACTGTATGGCCCAGCCAGGGGTCTCCTCTGCCCCGGCCTCTTCCAGTTCCTACACGAAGCCGAGAGGGAAGTAGAGCTGAAGCATATGCGAAAGGAAGGGCGCCTGGGAACCCAAGCAGAGTGAGAGAGGCCCACACACCGTCCTGCCTGGGGGGGGGGGGCACCCACTCAGTGCCCTGAGGCAGGGGGTGCTTCAGTTCTGACAGGAAGGCGGAAGGAACTGGAACCAGGCAGGACGGTTCCGGAGAATCACATTCTTGAAACACCAACTCATAATCCCAGGCCTGGGATCGGAGGCGACAACTCTTGAACGGGCTTAGTAAAGCTGTTTCGAAGAGAGGATCCCTCAAGGAGATCATCCCCTTGAAAGGGGATGGGATGTGCTCCGCTGGGGTCCTGGCCTGCCTTGGGCGGTGCGTCTCCTCTCCAGTGTGCACCCCTCTCTCCAGCCCCTCATGAGAGCACTGTCACTCTTCACCTTGGAGTTAGCTGGAAAGGAGGGTGGAGTGGCTGGAAGGAGGAGGGTGGCATCTCAGTCTGGCCTCCAGTCAAACTGGGCTTCTGGCCTGCGGTCAGGGGCAGCGGGCAGCAGCCACAGGGGAAGCCGCACCCCCCATCACCACTGGTGTTGCAGCCAGGTGTGCCCCAGGGGAATCCACAGACCTGGTTCAGCCCTGTCCGCGCAGAGCTCACAGACACGGGGATGGCTCAGAAGGCAGGAAGCAGAGGGAGGCCTCCTCTTACCCTGACCTACTCCATACACACATCTCCTCTTCAGAGTCTTAGAACTAGCCTACGCAGGACCTGTGATAAAGAAGAAAATAAACGCCTTCCTTCTTACTTCCCTTACACCCCCACTTCAACCCAACTGCCCTTTCCCATCCTTGTGTGTTGGTACAGATAACCCGTCAAGGCTCTAACGTGATGAAAGGGCAGACATATTCTCCACCCCCATTACACAGGCAGCCCCCAAACGCTACAGGTGGACCTCCTCAGGGCAGAGACTCACTGAGAGCCAAGCCCTCCCTCTGAGGGACTCTCGGATGCCAGGGGAAAGCCCTGGGACCTCAGGAAAAGCAGCCCCCTCAGTAAGGTCTCTGGGTGGTGCTGAGAGCCCGGACATGGCTAGGACTCCCCACCCCCATCACCAGCAAGCTAGTGGGTTCCTAGATCCCCTACAATGTGGGACTGACTGGTCACCACAGCCTTACCTGACACCCAAAAGTCACATTTATCATCTTCCTCAAAACCCTGTGTTCCTAATTATGGTAATACCATGAGACTAAGACCCACTAGAGCCAAAAATCTGGACCAGTTTGCCCTGGTCACACTCTGAGCAGAAACCCTAAACAAGGGCCCCAGAAGAGAGGTTAGGTATAGTTAGTTAGGTTCAGAGATCTTGGGGAATTCCTCCAGCTAGCAATGGACTACAAGAAGAGGACCTCGCAGCCATCTGATTAATTAAAAACCATACCTGTTTATATTTTGTGTAGCTTATCACAAGCTGCTTCGCCATATCACCCCCTTGTTATTAATTCTTGGGGGCTAAATTATGGGTAACACTATTAAAACATTATCCGAACTAATGAGAAACAATTACTTAGAAAATGAGCCAGGACAAGATTGAGTTGAGAACATCCGTGGTGATCACCGTAGATTAGTTTAATAAATCATCAGGTGCAGGGCAGGACTGACACTATGTATGCAAAGCCCTGTCGCGGGAAAATGAAATTGAGATTTTTTTTTGCATAATTTTTTCATTAATCTCAATAGGACCCGTGTGGTGTTTTATTCCCCTAATACCTTGCCGGAGGGGGGGTGCCCAATAATGTCTTCATTGTTTTACTGAGGTCTTAATGACAATCTGTGACAACCTCATTTTAATGTATAGAGGATTATATCAATACGATCATGTTTTATTGAAAGGGTGAAGGGAAACTCCAGTGGAGTCAGGCACTGTCTGTGAGCACAAGTTGGGAATTTCCTGGGCATCTGGGTGCAGTTCCCTTCGGACTTCCAAGTATTGAACCGCTGGCTGCCCTTAGGTCCTCTCCTCCAGGGACAGGCTGGGAAAAGCTTCCTCAAGAAGACTTCACCGCCTCCTATTTGAATTTGAAAGTAGCTCATTGCTTGACATATTTTGTTGGGAAAATGGAACAGACCCTGTAGTGGTCCCCCCCCCCCCCGCTTTCTAAAATATACCTGTTATCATTATCATTAATACATTAACCCCTAATAGTCCTGCCCTCGTTTGGGAAACTGACCTTCACTGGAGACGTTATATTTTCTAACGATGCCTTAAGCAGATAAAAAAAGAATACCTGCTTTTTAATTTGAAGGACATTTTGGTTTTATGGTTTCCGTTCCTCTTGGAAAGCTAACTGTCAGTCTGTTTTTGTTTTCATTTTGACCTCTAGTACTTGGAAGGCAATTGATCGTACAAAACAGGTTATAAGATTACCAGCAGGGACTTGTGCATATTAATGCCGGCGAGGGGCACCGAACCGGTCTGTCACCGCGGAGTTTATGCCCCAGGCTGGGGGACACTGTCCACCCAGCCCCGAGACCCTCCCCTCCCCCGCGGGGTTTTCACATTGCGATTTAGGGGCAAAGTGGAGGAAAGTAATTAGCAGAGCTCAGCATTTAGATGTTTAAACTTTAACACTGTACGCGCTTTATTTTTAACCGGGGCAGGGGAGGTGGGGCGAATAGAGGGCACAAAATGGCAAATAAATTAACTTTTCTAAATACCTAACTTAGTACCTGAAAAGCTTGCGCCGCGGCCCCGGGCAGCTTTTGCTGTCCTGTGAGGGGCGATTGTGGATGTAGGTGGTGGTAGTTTGTTTACATTCCGGCAATTATTTGGCGGCATATTTCCTTCCGAGTCTGTAAGAATTGCCAACGACATAAAGAACGAGATGTGTGGAGAAGAACTGAAATCGTGGTTAGCGCCTTTTGTGGTCGTTTGCTGTCGATCCGACCCCGTTCCAGCTAAGCGGACTGAAGCCTGCAGAATTTTTATTTAAGGGGGAAAAAAAGTGTTTACAAGTCTTGTAAAAGACGAGGGATTTGTCGCGCGCTCCCTTCCTTTTTAAATTTTTGTTTGTAAGTGAACGGCTCGGTGTTGGCTTCTTCCGACGGGAAGGGCTCGGCGAGCCCGGGCAGCGCGCCCCGTCGGAAAGACGTGCGCCCGCGGAGCCGGGACGCGCGGAGCCCGCGTTCCCCGCCGCGCGAGCTTCCCGGGGACCGGGGGCGGCGGGCGGCGCGCGAGGGCACCTGGACGCGGAGACTGGCTGCCCGGGAGGCACCGCGCGCGCCCTCCGGAGGCGCACCGTCCCTTCCCGGCGGGGCGCGGCTTGGAGCGGGGGAGCCCAGTGGGTCGGGACTGCGGGCCCCGCTCGCCCGCCCGCCCGCCCGCCCGCCGCGGGCCGTCCGGAGCCCGCGAGCCTGTCGCGCAGCCCCGCTGTAATGGTGGCAGATCAAAGGCTGCCCCGTGTCCCCGCGGAGTCCGGGACAATCCCGCGCCTTTGTGAGCTGTTGCTAGGAGCCGGAGAAACTAAGGGAAAGTGTCAGGAGCATGTTAATCAGACTCGTTACAGTGTAACAATAACGTCTCTCTCCGGTCTCCCAGGCCCCCAGCACCCCGGCGCACCCAGCGCACAGGCCCGACACCTGCGCGGGGCCCTCGCGCGGGTCCTGGGGACCGACCGGCCCCTATATCCCTCCAGCCCCGAAGTCAGCACCTGCGCCCGGCGCAAGAACTAGCCCTAGGGACCCTACAAGCGACTGGCGCATCTCCTGGGCCCAGATCTTGACCAGACCCCCATGCGCCCTTAGTCTGTCGGGCTCAAATCCGGATTCCTGGCCAGAGGGACCTGTGGAGGATTTGGGTCCCCCTGCTTTCAGTCATTGAGTTGATTTCCCAGGATATTCACAACGGTATAGAACCAGGAGAAAAATGAGCATTCCATTTTAGATTGCTTTTTGCTTGAGTTTCTTCCAAAGATGCCAAAACCAACTTTGCCAGTCTCCCTCTCAAATCCATAGAGGATACTACAGGTGAGAATCCCGAGTTTAAAAACAAAACAAAACAAAAACAAGAAAACTTTCCTGAAAGTAAAGATGTCTCTGAACTTTTTTGAGAGGATCCATTCATTCATTCGTTTATTCATTCAACAAACATCTGTTGAGCCTGACCCAGTGCCAAACAGCTAGCTAGTATGAAAGTCGCAGGACTGGTTCCGGATGCACTTTTCTTTCAAAATTAAAACGCTCTTGTGTGGAGTCAAAGGAAGAGCAAAGGCGTAAAATAATGCCAAATGCCGCAACAAAACGTGCCATTGACTACAGTAGTGATAGTAACAAGAGAGGTGCGGATTAAGAATTGAAAACATTCGAAAAACTACACACCATATGCTTGGAAAACCAGCCACTATTTTATCTCCTTTCCTCCACTTTTGGTCTCTAGGAGCTGGGCCAAGCTGCAGTCCTGAAGCCGGGAGTCCTGCCTGAAGTCTGAAGAGTAAAGGCAGTTTGTAAACAGCCTGTCAGATTCACTAAGGGAACAAAAACACTCAGTCTTGTCCCATTCTCACTTTAGCCATACACAGGGAAGTGGAAAGCTGCGCTCCGGCTTAGGACAGAATTTGGCCAACCGGATGTGCCTTTCTCCAGTATGAGCTCTTATTCAGGAACCAAGGAAGTTCCTTTGGTTTAAATGCTGAACACTGAGTCAGAGACAAAGCTTTCTATTTATCAGAAAAGTATAGAAAACTCAC